TAGACCCAGTGATATATGTGAGGTAATGCCCCCAGATGCATGGTTTGGATCTACAACTGCAAACCCAGGTATCATATTCCTAGTTCTACTTTAATATGTGCTACCGAGTGAACCCTGTATTTACATGATCTTGTTTATGTTTTTTTTCTAATTGGGGGTGTTGCCTTTAGTTATAAATCTTTAAAAACGCATTTATCACGTGATATTTGTCAGATGGATCAACACAAACTACTCCAACTCCTGAAAACTTCCAATCCTGCGGATTTGAAGAGAATACTTGTGAGTACAGCTCACCTTCTAAAGATAAATGGATTCGCACAAATGCTGAGGAATTAAGTAACTCTGATAAACCTGTACCCGGGGGAATAGATAAAGGTTATTTTGCTTACGTGAGTGGTGATCTTGGTGAGCCTAAATCAACTTTGCTACTTGAATCTAAAATGCATGATGAAACAATTGCTACTTGTATGCACTTCTTTTATAACATTCAGGTGTGTTTTTTACATTATAAAGTTGTACTCATAAACACATAATTTGTGGATTCATAACAAATATTTTTAGCAAAATGGATCGTTTAAATCTCTCCGAATAAAAATACAAGATCATGATGGATATGAAGAATATCTTTGGGAACTATCATCTGTATTGTCAAATGGAGATTGGGAAATCGGACAAGTTTACATATCCGCTCCCAGGGTAAGCTTTAAACATTAAATCTTACAATCTTTTACAAATCCTGAATCTACTTCAGATAATCATTGAAGCTGAAAAGGGAGATGGAACTAGTGGATATATAGCAGTTGATGATCTACTGTTTGTGAAAGAAGAATCTTCCAGTGCTTGCACTGTTTTTCCACCAGAAGCGGTTGTTACACCAACAGAACACCCCCCTACTGATGGAACAACTCACATCCCACCAAGTAAACATCTCATTAAAAAAATTTAGAGAACTTGGCACCAATATTTCTTGAGCTTGACATAAAATTTTTCTTCCATTTTTCGGCCCTTTTTTGGTTAAACACTATTTGTCGAAAAAAGCTTCTGTTAGGTTCAACCGTTTTTGAAGATGAAAACAGTCAATGGTTTGTTATTTAATGCAGATGAAACCATTTCATAAAAAAAATATTAACTCCAAGTAAATATTTCCGTCTGTGTTTAGTTCCTCAGATTTGTTTCTATCCTGAAGATTTAAAAAACTAGTAAAAACATCCCCTAAACAAGAATCCTTTTTATTCTATACTTTATGTTACTAAGTGCACTCACTCGAGTGTATAATAAATAAATGAGAATATAATTTTTTTTCTAGCTATATTCTGTGAATTTGAAACTGATTTTTGTGGATATGAAGTAACTGGACATGAAAACTTCATGTTTATTCGGGAGAAAGGAAATAATTTTAATGATATAAATGATGGACCTATCACTGACAGCACTGGAAATAGAGAACATTATTTTGCATATATTTCTGCTAGAGATAGTGAAACAGAACTTAAAACCTCAGAAATTGAGATACCAATGATTCATGGGGCAAATCATTTATTAGAATGTTTCCATTTCTGGTTTTCTATCAAGGTAAAATTTTCATATTGTATTGATCAGCCCATCATACTATTTAAGATTAAGTAACAATCATTTACACTTAGCATGAAGGTGGTATACAAAGTATAAATGTTGTTCAACAAGATGAAGAACTGGAAGATCATCCAGGTACTAAAATACATTTATTATATGTTTCCTTTTATTTATTACCATATATGATTCACAATTGTACAGCGGTTACCAAGAAAATTTTGATGATCATAATATAGCATGCTTAGCCAGACTTTTGAACTAAAATATCAAACTTCTTCAAAACAATTTCGTCTAAGTGAGAGTTATTTTGAATTATTTTAAAAAAGCTTGTGATTTTTAAAACGAAAAATCTTGATGTAAGAAAATTTCATGAAAAATGGATTAATGTGGAGATCCGTAGAAATCGTCTTCCAGTCCGAAAGCTTAAGTAACGAAACCAAATATATTTGATAGTACCCATGATGTTTCTTAGATTAGATAAATATCTTTGTTGGTTTATTTTGGTCCTTTATTTGTCGTTTGGTGACCTCGACGTGATATTTTTGTCCGAAATAATTCCTCTCGTTGATGTGTCTGAAATTCCTGGTTCCGGAGAAGATGAGAAGAACAGTGTTCAAGTCGATTCACAATATTTCTCATCCAGGCAATTGTGCTTCTAGAAGACTAATTTCAAGAAGTTTTGTTTAGGAAGGTTCCTCCAAAGATGTCAATTTATGGTTTTAGTTCTGTCTGGATTGCCAATGGAGCAAGGTTCAAACCCACAACAGAAGAATGTACCAAGGTTTTACTCCGATTCTGGATAACAACCTTTGTAGTTACATCTGTGATCACCTCCATTCCATTCCATTCCATTATCGTCTTAAAGTGTCTCTGAGAGCTTGATTGTCTGGAACAGACTGGTTCAATCATCTACCCCTGGTGTTACTTGGTCTCTGGAGTGTTTCCAGAGAGGATTCTGCTAACTCCGTCTCCAAAGCTCTTTTTGGTTTCTGGATAGTTCATCAGCGAAGATTCAACTAAACCACCGCTTTCTCTGCTGATAAACATGTAACCTCTCAACAACCTCCCCAACGTGGAAGACCTCCCTTGGCACTGGCTCCGTTGACTCTGGCTCTGTTAACTCTGGCTTCGTTGACTCCAACCTCTCCAATACCTCTTGAGAGAGCCAAGAGGATGATTCTCACCTCAGCCTTCTACTCCTCTCCTAGTTCATTGGAACCCCCAACGAGAATTTCGAAATAAGCATCAAGTTCATCACTTTGATGCCGGGGGGACCCCTGTGGAGATCCATAGAAATTGTCTTCCAGTCCAGAAGATTTACTACCAAACCAAATATATTTGATAGTATCTTAGATTCAATATATATATCTCAGTTCGTTTATTTGTGTCCTTTATTCGTTGCTACATTAACATCGTTTTCTTGTCTGACATTTTTTAAAGCAGCTCTGAAATATTTGAAGCTTAGATGAGGAAGATATTTTTAATGTGACCCACTCTAGATAAAAACATAGTCTGAGTCTGTTTATTAAATATTGATAGGCTGAACCATTAGAAACATTGGCCATTGGCTTAGAATATGAATCTCCCCGAAATACAAGGTAAGTAAAATAAGTTTTCTATTTATTTATCATTATGGGCACAGAGTATACTCAGTAAACAGGTACAAACTGCTTATGTGGTTGGTCAAGCGTTTGACAATTTTCAGATTTAGGTGGTATAATAAATTTTCAAAGACAAGTAATAAAGCCCCAATAAAAGTGTTTGACCCAAACCTAAAACCATTTGAATAGACAGTATGTTTTTTAACCAAACTCTAAATTAGAAAATCATAATTAGAGATAAAATGGAACTCGATTAGGCGACAAAAAATCAATTAACATAAATCGAAAAAAATCGCTTATATTACAGAAGAAGTTGGTGACTGCCAACTAAGGAACACAAAATTGCTAATTTTTAACAAAAAAATCGCCTTTTTAACCTAAAAAATGAATATTTTCAACAAAATCGCTTATTTTCAAAAAATATGTTTTCATTCCACCAAAAAATCTCTTATAATTAACAAAAAGCAGGCTTATTTTCAAAAAAAAATTGTTTATATCTAACAAAAAAGTTGCTTATATTCAACCAAAAAATTAACTCTAAAACGCCTACTATCCGCCCCCTATAGTGAAACAGAACTTAAGACCTCAGAAATTGAGATACCAATGATTCATGGGGCAAATCATTTATTAGAATGTTTCCATTTCTGGTTTTCTAT